AACTTTTTGGTTCGCCGAGGCCAGGTCACAGGTCTGAGGTCACATGGTGAGGAAGCTGCCAAGGAGAGCCTGGCCTTCTTTTCTGTTAAGGAAAGCCCAACTTCCCCTTCTGCACACCTGCCTCCTTCTCAAGAGCAACCTTTTCTGTAGCTCTTGCTCTCTGGAAGGACAGACTCCTCTGGATGGCTTCATGCTGAGCTGCATCTGCTGCAGGAAGGGGGTGGCTTGGCATTTTCTTAAGAAGGAAGGTTTAACTTGAACTTTTGGGGCTCAGGTGGAAAGTCCAGTTGTCTTGTCTGTTGTCCTGGTAGCCTGGGAGCTCCTGGAGACCTTGAGTATCACTTTCTTTCTCTGTGTCCTCAGTCCCTTGTGCAAGAACTAACTTAACCCATGATAGGTTCATGGAAGAGCATTGATTGAATAAGGAGTAACCAGGTCTCAGTTTCACCATCTGAAAAATGGGGTTGGACTAAAGTGTTTACTCACTGACATGTCTGTTTGCAAGCCACTTTATTAAGATGACCCTCTTGAGTCTGCACCATGGCTTTATAATAAAGGTAGCAGGAACACACCTGTTTTACAGAGCAGAAGACCAAGGTCCAGAGGGGGGTTCTGAGGCTCTGTCTCCACAAGACACCATCAGGCACTGTGCTACAGGGGTCAGTTTGAACTGGTTGGCCACCTGACAAGTGAGTGACAGAAGCAAGTTATCCTTTACCTTGGTGCCTCAGTTCCCTCATCTATAAAATGGGGCTATGAATAGTAGCTACCTTGTAGGATAATTATAAAGATTCAATGGGACCATACATGGACAGCACCCCGCAGCGGCTTGTCATGCAGTAAGGTACGTAGTATTAACAAATCTGTGCTGTTTTAGCTCACTCGGTTTGTGGTACTTATTGTTATAGCAGCCAACAAGAAACTAATACGCTTGTTGCCTGAACTCTTACTTCATTTAACACCAGGATGTCATAGATTCTGAATCCTGTTCAAACAAATCCAGGTATTCATTATTCTTCTTGCCATCATTTTTATACTACCATGCTGTTTAGACCTGTAACATTCATCTGAGCCAAACAGAAATGAAGCTGGGTGCAGTGGTGCATGCCTGGAATCCCAGAGGCTCAGGAGGCTGAGGCAGGAGAACCATGAGTTCAAAGCCAGATTCAGCAACTTAGTGAGGCCCTAAGCAAGAGCAAGACCCTGTCCCTAAATGAATAAATAAATAAAAGGCTCTGTTCTTCGATGCACTTGAGCTCAATATCCTGGTACCAAAAATAAATAAATAAATAAATAAATAATAAAAAAGAAAAAATATATATACATTTTTTACAATAGATTATTAACCTCTTTAAAATAGATGATTAGTTCATAGATTCTTGCTGACATGCAGGAAAACCAAAAGCCTATTTTGTTCTCTTTGAGCTTCTCTGTGCCTGTGCAGCCATTGCTGCCTCTGCAAGGCTATGAACTAGACTCAGAGCATCTTGCCCTGTGATCTCCAGACCACCTGGATAAGAATCATTGATGGTGTTTCTCAGAGTTTAGAGTTTGAAATCAGAATCTCAGAAGGTGAGGCACTGGTGTCTGCATTTGGACCAACTCCTGGGGAGATGGGAGCACCCTAAAACTTGAGAACCAGAGTACTTGAATATCTTTTTTTTTGTCATTTTTCCAGGTTCCTGGATTCTTTGCTGGGCATGGGGGTTTCTTTTTCCCTTTCTAAGCAAATACCCTTGTGTTTCTGTGAAGTCAAATGTTCTGTGTCAGCAATTGAGGCCGGGAGGCTTGGTGGAGAAGAAGTGAAACTTTGTCTTATGGCACCACAGAGAGTTGGATCATGTTAGCAAGCCCCCAGCGAGGGGAACTTTGAAATTATTTTAAGCTGCAGAAGCCTTTTCTCAAATGAAATTTGGCTGGGAGGTGCAACTTGAAAACAGATAAAAAAAGGGGTATAGTTTACTCTGGAACAAAAATGGAGCACGTCAGGCTGCAGCTCACTAGACCCGCCTCTCATTTCTGAAGGACCTCCAAGAATCACTTAACTCTCTGGGGTGGGCTGAAAACTGGAAATCTACTTCCTTTACTTGATCTAAAGATCAAGCTTCTAGACCTTTATTAGACTTGCTGTGTGAACTAAGGCAAGGTATTCCCTGCATCTGGTCATAATCATTTAATCTATAAATAGGGAGGTTGTATTAGTTAAGGTGGTCTGCAGTAACAAATAGGCCCAAACACATAAATGGCATTAGCAAGACATGCTTATTATAAGGCAGGTGTTTCTTGTTTTACTCTTTCTTTTTGTTTTCTTCACCCCTCCTACCCCACCCCACCTTTTGAGACAGGTTTTTTTCTATGTTGCCTCAAACTCCTGGGCTCCCCCTTGATCCTCCTGCCTTGCCGCCTGAGCAGTGGGGACTGCAGGTGCATAACACTGTGCCTGGCTTAGGGCAGGTGCTTCTGAATGGAGGGTGTTCCTCTTCCTCACGGTAATTCAGTGACCCATCTTGTGGCCCCCTCACCTCCTTGGACTGGCAGATGAGAGAGTGGCAATGGCATGTTCACGTCCTAACACCTGGGCTGGGGTAGCAGACACCCTTTTGCTCCTGGGAGAGCTAGGCTTGTGGCCAATCGAGTTGCAAAGGAGGCAATTCTCAGGCCCCTAATCATGAATTTCTCTAGAACGTGTACAATGGCTATTTTCTCTCCCTACTAGGGGGAACAAAAAAACATCAAACCAAGGATGACAATTTTAATGAGTGCTTTACATTTATGGAGTTGAAAGTTTTTATAGCCATCATTTGTTTCACTGACCTTGCGTGGAAAGGATTCAGGATCATCATTGCCTCTTTATAGATGAGGAAAACAAGGCTCAGAGAGGTAAAGGGACTTTGTCAAAGTCACACAGCTCTTAAATAAAAGAACTGGGATTCGAACTCAGAAAATCTTACTCCACCGGAACATTCACGTGCATAGACGTGTGTGTGCATGTGGTCAGGGTAGAGATTTTCCAGGCTGGACTTCCCCAGGGCTGGGCACAAGGGCAGCCAAAGCTCAAGATTATTGTAGGGTTCCCAGAACAGGCCGAAGTTCTTGATTGGGAGGCAGCTGGGTGGTTGTCCTGGCCTGGGGAAGCCCAGTGTGACAGTATTACAGCCACTGGCCACGAGAAACAAGAAAGGGCGGTGTGGGAGGGCAGGTTGGGGTCCTGGGTGAGGCTGGGGCTCGGCTGGGCTGGGTCTACTGTGGGTGTCTGGGAGTGTTTCCTGTGTGGACAGCCCACAGCAGGACGAGGACTTTAGTGACATAGGAAACTCGGTGACTCAGCCCTGCTTCCTGACCCTTGGCCCCTGAAGGAGAAGCTTGCAACACAGACTTTTCCTCATTCACTCAACAAACACTCACTAACGCCTACTGTGCGTTGGGCCCCTGCAGGGCCAACCCCATGAAGAAAGGTGGGGTTCGTGCCCTTGTGGACCTTGAGCAGTCCCAGGGGGGAGTTATGTTTGTTCCCATTTTAGAAATGAGGGAAGTGAGGCTCTGATTAGGGGAGTGACAGTCCCAGGTCTCTTGGTGGGATGAAGATCTGCGTTCTTGTTTCCCACTCCAGGGCTCTTTCTAGATCCACGGCGGAGAGGGAGGCACTGGGCCCGGCCTGGGATGCAGAGAAAGGGCCTGGTGGTTGGCAGCTACTCTGTGCTGTTTCTGGGCTCAGGTTTGAGGCAGTGTCAGGAAATCAGTTGATTCATTTGTCTTTGGTGTCTCAGCATTTGTTTTTGGAGTAATGGACATGAGCATTCTTGAGAAAGAGTAGAATTTCTTGCAGTGCTGGACGGAACCAAGGGGCAGTCATTTTACCTGGTCCCAGAACTGTCATAGACTCTGGGGCCCACTCTAGAATGCAGCCCCCTGACTTCCTGACAGCCTCGGCTTCCTCCTCCAGGTTGTGGAGGGATGGAGTGATCTAACGCTCACAGAGCCCTGGGCGCACCGGCGGCTCCAAGAAAGCATTTCATTATCATCCTTCTCAGGAAAGTGAGAAAGTTGTCTTTGCCAGTCTGGGTTGGGGGCATCTGGTGCTTTGCAACTTTGGGTCCCCAGGCTGGAGCAGGTCCTTGGGGCCCTAGGGGGGGCACCGTGGACCTGGCTTTCCTGAGCCTCACACATACTCTGGCATTGAAGGAAGCCCCAGAAGTTGAGTCAGCAGGCGCCAGCTGCCATTCAGGCAGAGGGGGAGGGGTGGAATCAGTTCTGCTTTCTCAGGACCTGACTTGGGTTCTGTGATCCTGTCCTGAGGCACGTGACCTCCTGCTGAGGGCAGCACTTGTGCAAGGAGGTGGAGAGCGAGGCTCAAGAAACAACTAGCACAACTGATTCTCCACCTTGGAAATCAGGGATGAGAGACAGGGAGCTGATGGGAGGGGGTGAGCATGGGGGAGGGCAGGCCCTGCACCGGGCACACCTGGGCACACCTGGGCACACCTGGGCACCGGCCCTGCATGTGCATGCTCCGTGAATGCAGACATCTTTGCTGGGCTTGGGGAGGGGGTGCCTTCTTCTGCCTGTCCGTCAGGGGTACCTCCTACTGTGATCTGCACCCATGTGCCTTATGGACTTGGGCTTTGAGAGCTGAGCTGGCCATTCTCTCGCTCGGTTCCACAGAGCACTGACCATCAGAATGGACACGGGTGTGAACACCCAGAGAGGCGGGGCCGGCCTCCTGTATGGTGGTCAGGCCTGACCTTGGCCCCAGCCTTGGGGTCCATCATTGAGATGCTTTACCCGCTGAGCTCCCGGCGGCACGGGGTGTGCTCTTGGCTGTGAAACGCTACTAAGTGCTTCCCAGGGGGGTCGATAAGGAGAAGGACCGAGCCAGACTCCAGCACCTGGCGGCTGCTCGGGCGGGGCTCTGGGTGACCACATGAGCCCCGGGCCATTCAGGCTTCCAGGGCGGGCGCTGTGCCGGGCGTGGGGATTTCTGCACACGAGGACCCTCTCTTCGGCTTCTGCCCCATGTCAGGAGCCGAGCTGCCTGGGGACTCCTGGTGGAGCATGTGTGGCCACCTAGTGGCAGGTACCAGCTGCCCGCCAGGCTGTGCTCAACCCAGAGACTTCTTGGGCTCTGAGTTAGCTGTGTCCCCTCAGCTGCAAGAGCCGTTGTGACCTCAGCGTGGCTCAGTTCGCCCCATTTCCGCCCCTTTCCAAACATCTGTTTCTGCTTCTGGTCCTGCTCCTGATGGCCCCACTGTCCCTCCCAGTCCCCTGTTTAAACGCCTCAGGAGGGAGCACCTTCCCGGTGCAGATGGTGCTGCGGCCCCCCCACAGGTCCCTGACCGGGTTCGCTTTGCTCTCTGACGGTGGATTGGATCCCTCTCAATCTGGAACCTTCCTTTCCAGCAGGTCCCCGAAGAATCTTGAATGGACGTTGAAGTGGACGGTGTTGACCTGGACAGGATCTGGTCCAGGGTGCAGGTCTCCCTCTGCCCCACCCTCCCCGTCTCTCTGGTGGGAACTGCCGTCACCTCTCTACCTGGGTGCTCAGGGCTCTGCCAAATCTGCAGCCACCTGACCTCTTGAGTCCCAGGCTTGGGACTAGCTGGGTATCGCTTCTGCCACTTCTGTCCATCCTGGAAAGTGACCAGTCCAGTCTAGAATCAGGGGAGGAGAAGCAGAGTCCCCCTCTTCATGCTAGGAAGGACAGGTATGTTTTGGGAGATGTCACAGTCTGTCCTTAAAGATAATATACCCACTGGGGGTGACAATGACCTTCTGAGATAAGTGTGGCCACGCCTGAGCTAGTGCACACTCCCGTTTCTCAGCTGAGCCTCAGAAAGGGAGCGTGAGACCATGTAGAGAAGAGAGCCTCCATTCACACCATTCATTTATTGAGCACCTACTATATGCCAGGAGCGTGGGATACCAGGAGGAATGAACCCTGTCCCCGAGAGCCCCCAGTTAAGTAGGAGATGGCGTGTAGGCAGACGGAGGGGGTCCTGTCTGCTCAGAAGATTGGCTTGCAGGTCAGGGAGTGGGGGGACGGTGCTCACGGGTCCTGACCGCCCCTGACCATTCCACTCACCATCCATTCAGTAGGGAACACACACACACAGGGCCATTGTGACCCAGGGCTGATTGTTGTCTGCACTAACTGAGGCTCCTTCAGCTTGCCAAGGGCTACAGGGACAGACGGGAGGAGATTTTGGGGATCGGAGCTGGGTTAAGGGGGTGCCTGGAAGAAAGTTGGTCGGAAATAAAAGAGATTTCAGGGCGAGAGAGCAGCAAGCAGGGAGACGTGGGGGCACCACAGTGTGGGGTGTCCTGTGGGCGGGGCGGGAGGCAGGGGCTGGCAGGAGGGAGCGGGGACTCCGCAGGGTCTGGGAGCTCCCAGCGGCTTCGGGGAGGGCTGGTGCTCTTGGTTTTCCTGGAGGGCACCCTGACCCTCCCAGACTCAGTGCTGAACTCCAACATGGGGGCCATGGAAGATTCCAGACGACCCCAAGCTAATTGAGTTTGCAGTTGCGAGTCAACAGAGGGCGTGTGGCTCTGTGGCTTCGTCTCCCGGGTTGTCTGGCCCCCGGGGCCAGCTTGAGGGGGACAGTGGTTTTCATGTCTGGGATGGTGGGTCCTTTGTCCTGCCGCTCTAAGGACTTGCTGACGGACGTGGGCCCCAAGGCTGGGAGGGCACTTGGCCTTTGCTTTGGGCTTCACGGGAGCTGGGTCAGGATGGCCTCTCTGGTGGGCCCCGGGGGATCTGTGGAGTCTGGACTGGCAGGAGGAGGCTGGCCTCCAGCCTCGGTACCCAGGTCAAGCCTTGCTGACATTAGAGGCTCCGGCGGCCTCCAGGCCGTGGGGGGTTGGGGGCAGCGATGTAGGGACAGGTCCTCAGGGAGCCGGGTCGTTTCCAGTCTGTTCTAGAACAACCTGGCTCACCAGGGCCTCTTCGGCTGCCCGGGTTAGGGTCATGAAGAATCCAGGGCTCCTCTGCAGGGGGACGGCCGACGCAGCAGCCCTGGGCTGGCTGACCCCTGGCCCCCGTTCCCGCCCTCTCTGGGCTGACCTTGGGAAAGCTGCCCCACGGCCAAGGAGCCACCAGGAAAGGACCTTCCTCCCAGGGACGTCGTGGGGCTCAGGGGAGGGCCTGCTGAGCCGGAGTTGGGGTTCCCAAATAGAACACGGCCTCCTTGGGAGGGGCTGGCCTGACCGGGCCCCCAGGACTCTTGAGCCACCGCAGGTGAAGAAGGGCCAGCTGTGGACAATGCCCGTGTCCTCGATTTGTCCCAAGTGCCTCCCCTCCTCTTCCTGCCTTGGCCAAAGACCATGACAGGGATGAGGGAGACGATGAGTCACCAGCCTTGCATTTCCTGGGGCCCCCGGGGCCTGTCTGGCCTAAAGGGGCCTCTCCTTGACTGTCCCCTCTCCTCCCGTGACACACCAAGGGTGTGAAGGAAATCAGAAGCAGGACTCTGTGGTCTGATGGGCAGGCGGGGCCCTGCGCCTCCTCCTGTCCCCAGGGCTGGCCCTCCTCTATGCTCCCCGGTCACTCCACACTCCGGCCCTGCCCCAGCTCTGGCAGGTCACATGTCCCAGGTGCCTGGGAGGCCAGAGGTGCCTGGGGCTCTGCTTGCCAGAGCCCTTGTGTTGCTTCATCTTCCTGAAGGGACAGGTAGATGCCACCAGCTGTGTCCAGGTGGGGCTCCTGCCCAGCGCCACTTCCTGCTGCCAAGGTTGTCCCTGGGCCATCACCCTCGGGCCGATGGCCACAGACTGTTTATGAAAGGGACGCTACCCTCCCCCATGGAAGCGTGTGAAGGAGGGGACAGCCCTGAGGGACGGGCAGGGAAATGAGGGCCAGAGGGGACGCCCTTCATGCTCCAACCTGTGACATCTTTATCAGTCAGATAATGACTTGAGCTTTTTTCCTGTTTGGTGGGACTCCTGGGGATTTGCAGTTGGACAAACCTGGGTTCGAATCCCAAATGCCCGCATTTCCGGCTGGGTGATCTTGGATCTGCGAAGGTGTCTCTGAGCCTCAGTTTCCTCGCTTATAAATTCAAAGTGGTGGCAGAATCTGCGTGAGCTATGAAGTGAGGGCTGAATGAAACCATCCACACCAAAAAAAAAAAAAAAAAAAATGGTAAGCCAGGCATGGGGCACACACCTGTCATCCCAGTGCCTTGGGAGGCTGAGGCAGGAGGATCACAAGTTCAAAGCCAGCCTCAGCAATAGTGAGGCCCTGAGCAACTCAGTGAGACCCTGTCTCTAAATAAAATATGAAAAAGGGCTGGGGAACGTGGCTCAGAGGTTAAGCGCCCCTGGCTTCAATCCCTGGTACCCAAAGAATAAAAAATTAGAAATCAATGCCACCGCAGTGGGCCCGCACCTAGCAGCTCCGTCAACCAGGGAGCCTGCCCAAGAACCCGGGGCTTAAAACAATGTGGCCCCAGGCGGGGTCCCCAGGATGAGGCCTCCAGATGAGGAGCCTGGGTCCCTGTCACTCTAGGCTGACGCTCAGGGTCAGCCATCCCTCTCTTCCTTGTGGGGATTCCTTGATGTCCTAGTGAGACGGCCTCGTTTTCCTCACCTGTAAATTGGAGGTGAGACTGAAATGCCTTCCCGTCACAGGGGAGGGTGGGGGGCTGCAGGGGTGACTTTTTCTTTCTCTTGGTGGGGAAGTGGGGATTGCCACAGCCAGGTGTTTAAAGAAAAGAAGTTGGAACTGGGGGCCGGGAATTGGGCTAATAACAGCTGGGATACTGGCCATTTGCCATGCGCCTGCTTGGCTCAACACAGGGACGCTTTACCAGCCCCTTTTATGTTTCATTTAGAGACAGGGTCTTGCTTAGTTGCTTAGGGCCTCATTAAGTTGCTGAGGCTGGCCTCAAACTTGTGATCCTCCTGCCTCAGCCTCTCGAGTCGCTGGGATTTCAGGCATGTGCCCCTGTGCTGGCTTGCCTCTGTCTTTTGAGGGGCGTGTTCCCAGAAACCAGGGCTGTATTCTGCGTCCTCCTGAGTAATCAGGACAGGGTGGTGGTAATGTAGAAGGAGCCCTGGCCCAAGGCAGACCCTTGAGACATGTTCTGGAACCATCCAGAAGGCGTGTCTCTCCCCTCGGGCGCCAGGTAGAAATCCTGGGTCATCTCCAGACCCTTGAGTTCCTGAGGGGGCTCTGGGGGTCCTGGGGGGTCTCCCGGCCACGGCATGGAGAGCATGGCCCGGTGCTGGTCAGCAGGGGTGGCCTGGCCTGTCCTGTCCCTGTGCTCCCGCCCCGTGACCCCTCTGTCCCTCCTGGCCCTTCCTCCTCCTTTTCCTCTTCTCTCTTTATTGAGTACGGGCTGCAGCTTCCCAGAGGCTGAGCCCAGCAGTTGGGCCAAACCCTGCCTGTCCCCAGCGGAAGGGTCCTGGAGGTGTCCTGTGACAGCTGGGCGCTGGGATGGGCTCGGCCTCAGCTCTGGAAGGGGACCTGCATCGTGCCCCTGCAGCCCCCGGTCCGCACCTGTCACATCAAGGCTACTGGGTGACACTTGCTCATTGAGGGACTGGACAAAGGGGCCCCTCCAGCAGAGGGACGCCCCCTCCCACTGCAGGGAGCAGGAGCTGGGGCATCCGCAGGAGCCCTGTTTACCTCAGGGAAACCGAAAGGAGAGCTAAGATGATGCTGAGATCCCGCGCTTTGTTTTTAAAACATACAATTATTTCGAGGACATAAACTTGGTTTGTTTTATTGAAAAGCCTGGGAATCTTTTGCATCCAGCACCTAAACGCCCTGTGCATCTGAGCTAAAATACTGTGGCCCTTTGGTCAGTTCCAGGAAAGGTGCCTTCTCTGTCCCCTGGCCTCCTGTCTGGGTGGCTCATTTGAAGAAAACTTGGGGTGGGGAATTCATGGACTACCAGGTCTGAGGGAGGGGTTCACAGATGATGGGGTCTTCTTTTCTTTGTCTCTGCATGGTGTGTTCAAGGAAAGGCACAGAGAGATGGAGGAACTTGCCCAAGGTCACACAGCTGATGAGCAGCTGAGCCAGAGTTTGACCCCCAGGGACTTTAACCATAATCCTCCGGGAAGTTGCTGTTTGACTAAGTCCATCTGTCCCGTTGGGTCTGCAGCTGGGCAGCTAGGACAGATTTCCTGCACACCAAGATGGCCTTCCTCCCAGAACCCGGTGAGCCTCCTGGGGGAAAAGAATGAGTAAAAGAGGATTCTAAGAAGCCCTGTGGTGGGCTCTGATCTGGGTCCCTTGTGTGGTTTTAGGCGAGTGAGGGCAAAACTATCAAGTTTTGGGCACCCCCGTGTCCCCCGATTTGGACTCGCTTGCCTAGTTCTGCTCCCAAGGGGGGAGGGGCTCTGAGTCCGTTTTCTGTTACTAATAATACCACCCCACCGTCTGGGTAAGTTGTAAAGAAAAGCGGTTTGTCTTGGCTCATAGTTGGGTCCAAGGTCAGGGGGCCGCATCTGTTTGCTTTCTTGCTGGCAGAGTCCCCAGGCGGGGCAGGCATCACATGGCAAGGGACAGGGAGGGTGCGACGCTCACCTCCAGGCGTTGACACTCCCGAGACAACCCGCTAACTCGCTGCCCTGCCCGGTGACTGCGCGGATGGATCCCTGCGAGGGCAGAACCCCAACTTCCTTCAGACACCCCATCTTCCCAGCTCCTCGTGAGGAAGAAACTTCAACTTGAGTTGAGGAAGAAAAGCCCCATTTCCA